TGCTGTTGCTGGGGATGAGTGCAGTGAAAGGAACAGAGGAGGGCAGAGGGTCCTTGGCCTGGGAAAAGGCACCATCTCTTTCTCCATGGAAGAGTTGAACAGATACCCATGCAGGCTGCAGACAATGGTCAGAGGTGGGCCCCTGGCTCTTATTCTGCCACAAGAGCATGTGCCAGAGAAAAACCATGCATTAGAAACTGAGAGCAGCCACCTAGGTCCACAGAGCTGTTCTCTTCCTTTTAAAACCCCCCTCGGACATCTGCTCCTCTCCATGTGAACTTCAAGCCTCCGGGGTACTGCCGGTCTTTGTGCTCATCAGCACCCGTGCTGCATCAAGCCTGCCAGCAAACCAGGGCCAAGCTGTGCTTGCAAGACCTTGTTGGAGGCAGGGTTAGAGTCTTGGCTCCCCAGTCCCCATTCAGCCTCCATGCCCTGGTAAGAGTATATTATTTTCTTAGCTCAAATTGCCTTTTCCAAGTCATTATTTCTCTACGACGAGAAAACAATATTGGGTCTTATGTAATATCAACCTCAATGAATCTGGAAGTGATCATGGAATGGGTGGATTTTTTTTCCTCCTTAAAAAGGAGAAAAATAAATTTGAGATTGTTTGCATATGGCTGAGAATATTTATGAACTATTCCCCTCGTTTCCTCGTCACATATTTTACCCCGTGCATTTGTGTGTGGTACAGAATAAATCTTTATGGGGAGCGGAGGTGGAGAGGAGAAGAAAGCAGTTAAAGGACTGCATATTCATCAAGTCCCAGGGATGTTCGAGACCCTGGGTCTCGGGTGCCCCGACCTCTGCTCACCTGCTGTATGTAGTCTGAGGCTTTCCCCATCCGCTACTCAAAGGAAGTCTTTTAGAGGAAGAGTTTCAAATATAAGCATTGAAGGAATTAACATCTTTTGTCACTCTGGTTTCATTCACACACCCCTGACTCTTACCAGAGAAGAAAGTTCAATGTGAATGATTTCAAGACCTGGGTGCCGTCAACCAGAAGAGATAATTAAATTCTACAGATGCCAGACTGAGCCAGGGTCAGCGGAATGAGTTGCCAGGTAGGAGGGGAAGAGCTGGCAGAGAATGTTCCATGCTGCCATTTGTTATTCAGTAATACAGCAGTGCTTTAGTCTACAGGCCCATTTAGTCTACTTCTCTCTGGCTGTGCCTAGAGTACGGCTTGTCCCTGGGGAGGACCTCAAGGGAGCGTCAGGGACAGGGCTTTGGCTGTACATTAAATAAGTAAGGGAAACAAAGTTCCAGGTTGCTGACTTCTCCTCTAGAGTCTTCGTCTCAGAATGGGAGCTTAGAAACTCCCATTCTCTGCCACACCTTGGAATTTTCAGGAATATACTGACCAAGAGTATAGGGCATGGCACCAGCACATTTGGTAATGCAGTAGCAATAACTACCATTAACTGATGTCCTAGTTTCGTTTATCTGAGTTTGTCTTCACAGTCGCCTTATGAGGATTAAGGATCATTAGTCTCATTTTTGAGCTCAGTGAAGCTGAGGGACTTTCCCAAGGTCACACCCAAGTTCCAGGATCAGGAACAGATATAGGATTAGTGGAGTCTGAAACCAGTGCAATAAATACAAATAAGGAATTTGAAAAATCAGGTCAAAGACCTTGGAAGGGTCCTATGCAATTAGGGAACCTTGAAGCTTAAGCCTCTGCAGCATTACAGTAAATCCCCCTGGGCAGGGTCACAATTTATACACACGCTAGCTCCAGGCCACCTGGCCCCTTCCCTGCTGCTGAGTCTCCTCTTCTCTCTACCAGGATTATCACCAACTTCACCCTTCACATTCCTGATCATAAGTACACAAATGCAAGTGACAGAATAGACACACAGAGGACATGCTCAGGACATACCCACTAGGTAGTTACACGGTATGTCACAGTTGTGACAAAAAGCGACAACCACTCCTGTTGCCAAACTTTATCCCTTCCATCTCAAGGAATCACTAGAGAGATAGTTGAAATTTATCCAAAATTATCTTGCCAAGAAGGCTCTGTTGCTATTCTAGACCTCTTTACCAAGTTACATGATAGTTCCCAGACCCAGTGACTTGGGCACAGGCTTGTGCAGTGGCTGATCAGGTCTCCAAGGGGTGTTTGGGATTAGAATGCTGCAATGTCCCATTCCCTATCCTATATCTCTCCCTTGATGATATCAGTTGGTCAAATTTTGACAAGCACAATATTTGATTCTTCCTTTCTTCATTATAATCAAGATTTTGCCATAATCTCCATAATTGAAAGGGTCAGAGGGACCTGGGTAAGCAAGCAAACCCAATGTAAAGCACAAGTGTTATGGGGAAAAGCAGAATAAGTCTTTTGAATAGTCTTTGCCTTTGAATAGTCTTGCAATCCCATCACAGTCTAGACAATTACTAAAGGGAACTCAAGCATTTTTCCCAGCCCTGCTTACTCTAGTCTCCCAGACTGGAAACTCAAAGCAGATGACGATGTGCGAGTTCAAATGCCACACCAGGGAGAAGGAAGTGTTGAGAAACGACATCCAGCCCCCACCAGTTATCAAGCATTTTTCCCAGCCCTGCTTACTCTAGTCTCCCAGACTGGAAACTCAAAGCAGATGACGATGTGCAAGTTCAAATGCCACACCAGGGAGAAGGAAGTGTTGAGAAACGACATCCAGCCCCCACCAGTTTTCAAACGTTCCAGTAAGCGTTCAATTGATTTACCTTGGGCTGGTGTCATTCTATTGTCTCAGACAAAAGGCCTTCTGTGAAAAGACAAAGTGGGTTATGTGAGGAGTGGCTAACAGAAGGCACATTTGGGAAAATCTGGACAAGAGTCCAGTCCTCTTGACTCTTCCTCCAGAAGACAACACCCCCCTTGTATCTGCTGGAATTAACATCAGGACTGACTCCCATTATCTCAGTGTCATACTGTAAACCAGAGTGTGGAAAACAGCCCTTGACGATGGGGCTGCTAGCACAGGTGCAGTGGCAAAGGACCCAGCCAGCCATCTCCACCACGTCTGTCATCTGAGCTCAAAGTTCCAATGTCAGTGTTCTGTGATTAGAATGGACTGTGAGATTCTAGGTGACAGTGACTTCCCACAGCTGTTCTCTTGAGCACTTTGTTCTGCTCATGTGTCCATATGGATTACTTCATAGATAATTATTGGAGCAAGACTGTAAAAGCTCTCTTCCACATTATCATCTTTTAGGTATTCATTCTTTGAGCCATATCCGTGACAGCTTTCCATGCAGCGGTGATTCCATATCTCTGGTGGAGTCCACTGCCTGGTGCACTGGCCATTCCATTTGGGACAAGTCTAATTTTTAGGCTGCCTTCCCTAGATGAAACTCAAGCATGCCTCCCTGATACCCATCCCTTCTCTGAGGGCAACACCAAACAGGGCTGCTCTCTTTCCTATGCCACATGCTCCTGGAGGCCTTGTCCCCAACTCTGCTCAGATTGTGTTAGCCATAGTTATTGCTTCCACAAAACCAGGTACATATCTTTGATCTAGGACTTCTACACAGTTTTTTATTTATTTAATAGCTTTCTTTCTTTAAAAAAATAGAATATGTGGGTTTATTGTGAAATATTGGCAAAATATAGTTAAGCAAAATAAGAAAATAAAAGTTGACCTATTCTTGCTCCTGCTAGAGCTAAGCATTATAAAACTTTGGTACCTATCTTTTCCTTATATTTCTGGTATATAACCATTGTTTTTCTACATTTATATATTTTTTCAAAAAAAAAAGGATTAGCTAGTGTTTATTAGTGGGTTAGGGTTTGCCTTTTCAGGTATTTAATACACTTCTACTGTATCATGTTAATGCTGCCAGGTATTCTGTAGTGTGTGGCAAACTGGCAGTGTGACAAGAGGGACGGGATTTGGGATGAGCTACCCCACTCTGCACACCCAGTGACTGCAGCCACTGGCCAGAAGTTTGACTAAAGACCCTTCCTCTGCTCTTCCATGCCAGCCCTTGAGAGAGGCCTGACCAAGGCACTGAAGAAACTGGATGACTACCTGAACACCCCTCTCCCAGAGGAGATCGATGCCAACACTCGCGGGGACGATGATAAGGGGTCCCGGCGCAAGTTCCTGGATGGGAATGAGCTGACCCTGGCTGACTGCAATCTCTTGCCCAAGCTCCATGTGGTCAAGGTAAGAGAGCTCTACCAGCAGGTGCTTATGGGATCTGACTCCATCATAGGCCAGGTCGTCTGTGGATGAGTTAAGGGCTATACCACCCAGTGGTCAAGAGCTTGGGCTCTGAAGCCAGATGAATAGGGACCCAAGGTCAGCGTGCACTGTTTGCTGGATGTGTAGCCTCTCTGAGCTTTAGTTTTCATTTATAAAATAGGCATATGTTGCTTACTTCTAGGGTTGTTGGGAGAGTAAATATGGTAAGAAAGTGCCTGGCACATTGTAGAGGCTTAATCTATAATAGCTACAATTGTCATTACTGTATATAGTCATCACTCCAAAGGCCTCTTCCTCACAGGTTTTCACTGGCCACACCCCAACATCTCTATTAGATGTGTCCTCATGTGCATGTTTTCTTTGGGCACGGACCCGCCCTCTCACTCCCTTCAGCAGCGCCCTAGGGTAGGCCCCACCATCTTCCCCATCCCTCCGTTGAAGAGATGGAGGCTGCAAGAGGCGACATCATTTTCTTGCTACCATTGCGCTTATTGACTATCTGCAACATGCAGCATAATTCATGCCTATACAACGAATCTTAGGATCTGAGAGATGGAAAGAAGGAAATTCAGAGGTCATCTAAAATAATCTCCCACCCCAAACTGGACCACTTTCTGCTGTGCCTGTGATAGGCTTCTTTGAAGCTGTGATCGTACAGTTCTAATGAGGAGAAGCCCTCTGCCTAATGAGCTAGTCCTACCATTTTGAACAGCTCTGATTATTAAAACATTCTTCCTGATATTGAGCCCAAGCATGCCTCCCTGCTACCCATTTGTTCTCTGGAGCAACACAGAACAGCTCTGCTCTCCTTCATCTCATTTGAAGACAGCGGTTGTATCCCCTTAAGTTCTCTAAACTGACACTTCTTCCCACATCCTTTTCTGACCCTCACCTGCCTAGAGAAAAATACAGTGAAATTATACAGTCATACGTTCTCCACTTTTGCACCTGAGTATCTCACCTCAGTCAGACAATAAGCTCAGTGAAGACTGGACCTTCTTCAAGTATGATGGTGGTTATATAGTGGCCCTTTAATAAATATTCATTGATCGACCATTTGATCACCTAGAGTGTGTCTTTATGATACCCTTTCTTCCTACCCTTCACTGAGAAGAATCAGAATCAATCATTTATGAGCTGGGTATATGCCTACTGTTTTTCAGCTAAAGTCCTGGGCTAAAAATGCAGGCTTCCCTCCAGCCAGAGCGCACACCAACTTGAGTTAAATCATTTAGCTGTGTGTGCACTAGTGTACCCACAGGCCTCGGTCAAAGCCGAAAACTGGGAGGAAATTATGTATGCCTGTGCTGATGGCAAGTACAATCTGTTCATATGAAGATGCGTGGGTTTGGGGCCAAGCCAATGGTCACTCGTAGGTCCAGCCAAGCTACGTCTCTTTGGAGTTATTCATTACCGCATGCCCCACCCACCAAAGCATCCTTTATTCTCCTTTTCCTAAGGAACAAGTAGCACCATTAGGGATGATATGATTCCAGTTCAGTCGCGCTGTGTCAGAGTGATTTGATGGAAAGCTTAGGAGACCCAGGTTCTGGTCCTGTATCCACCAGCCTGAGCAGGGCAAATCATTTAACCTTTCTGGAATTCATTTTTCTCGTGCCTAAAAGAAGAGATATGTTCCTTCTTGCCTCCTCTCCCTTTCTTCCTTTCCTCCTTCTTTCTTTCACTCTTACTCAAACACATATTGACTGTCCACCCAAGAATCATTTGTTGAATAAGGCAAACAAACGGATCTCCCAGGTCTCATGTTCCATCCTATGATTTCTTCAGTTCCTTCTGGCCCTAAATGACTAAGTTAAGCCCCTGTCCTTGGAGGGCATTCAGTGGGGTGTTCATTGGGATCAGAAAACTGGGGATCAGAGAGAGGATGGCCTGCAAGGGAACAAAGCCTGGGACTCAGCCCCTGTCTCCTTGGATTTCTGCTGATCCAGCTTATCAGATCCCAGGGACCTGGCAAACCTCTGAAGTTCAGAAAGAGCGAAGGGGGAGCCAAGTCAGGCCTCCAGTTTGGCTTCAGCCGCCAAAACTTAATCTGGGCTGTGGGAGCTAACTGTTTTCATATGAAAGAGCAAATTCAGAACATGAGCATGGACGTTCCTGCTAAGGAACTGTCAGAGCTTGACGTGCGTGTCCTCACCCACACGCCCTTGCCACACGCCTGGCTCACTCTCAGGTTCATCTCCATCCAGGGACCCTGAGTTGCTCTGGCCTGGGGCTCACTGAGGGCCTTTGAACTCTCTTGCCTGGCTCCCCACTAGTTCTCATCCCCCAAAGTCAAGCCAGAGGGTGAGGAAATGGTCAGCTCAGGGCCAAGGCCTGGGTGCACAGGTTGCGGCAGGAGGGGCATCTGTGGGCCTTTCTCAGCTGCCTCTGGACCTTTGCCCAACACAGTGACCATGCTCAGCCCTGAAACAAACAGGAAGGGACATGCAAATATAAACATGAATGTATATTAATGAGTTGCATTTCTGCTGCTTTAAAGCTAATACTTTATCCTTTTAAAACCTAAAAATAAAGTTTCAGTGTGAAAGGACATGAGGCTGCTCTATCAATCAGTGTGTAATTGTGAAAATTTTTTTGATAGCTTCCTTCTCCTTAATGTGCGATTTTGTCTATTCTGGCTAATTCCAGCTAGTTCCCTTAGTCAGGCCAGTACTCCTGCCTGGATTTGCTCTTTATCCAGGACCTCCTCTTCTCAGAGACACTTAGGCAAACCCAAGGGGCCCTCGCCTGCTTATGAGCAGAGGGAGACCAAGGAGAAGAGGTGGCATTGCTCATGGTGACGGTTCCGTCACTTTTGCTTACTGACCACGCCTAAGCTGGATGGAACACTGTGGGCTGGCTTCTTTGGCAGCACATGAAATCGGTTATTTTAACTGGGAGAATTTACTATAAAGAAGTGCCGCGTACTGAAGAACAGGGAGGCAAAATGCACCTCAGGGTTCCGCCCTTTGGAGGCAGCTTCTACCCCTAGGGCAGGAAGAGCAAAGGGAAGTGTTCAGAAGTATTAAAACTTAGAAATGTGGGGGCCCTGCAGCTGAGGGACCCTGCAGGGCTGGACCTCGGGCCTCTGAGGGGGAGTGCTGGGGTCTAAACTGGGGCGAGGGCCCAAGCTCTGCAGCAGAGTCCCTGCGGTGTGCTGGCCTCTCTGAGCCGGTGTGATGAAGCTGGTCCTATGAGTGTTGTCAGAACGGCAAACTGGATTCAGCTGCTGCTACTGGAAGTAACTGGAGACTCTGACAGGAATGGGAAGCCAAAAAGAAGGGGCTTCTCCCTCTCCCCCACCTCCTCCAGCCTCGCAGGCTCTCTCCAATAACTCCTCTTGGCAGAGCCTAAAAGGACTTGTGGGTAAAGCAGAGATGTGGTCTGCACAGTCCAAGCCCCAGCATTGCCAAGAAGCAAATAGACGGTAGGTTTGGAGAAACGCAATGACAGCTTGATAACTGGCACACGAGGGGCTCTGAGTAGACCCATTTCTATATCATTTACATAGGGCTGAGTGACAGCGTGAGAAAAACTGTGGATTAGAAAGCAGGGACTGTAGTAAATATTAATGATTACTCAATAGATATCAGTTAAATTAATTAATTTCTTGTGTAACACTGTATAAATTACTTAATCTTCGTGGCTCCAGTTTGTTCATTGCTAAGGATCTTCAGTCTTTAAAGTTAAATGATTAAGTGATTTGATTATACGTAACACTAGTTGCACCTTGTCTGATGTTAGGATAACTGGAGATTGTAAAGATTAAATACAGCTGTTTATCGAATTCCTACTTATTTAACCTCTCTTTGCCTTACTTTTCTCATCTGTAAAATGGGAATATAATAGACTCTTCCTCATAGGGTTATTTAGAGAGTTAAGTAGCTCGCAAAGTACTTAAGGCAGTACCTGGAACTGAGCACACAGTGAATACACATTTGCTATTGTCATAATTCTGATCAGCATCACTACTGGGATTATTGAGGGGTACAGAAATGAAGAGGCTGTGGTTCCTATCCTTAGCACTGCTCACAAGCTCTGGAGGAGAGACAGGATACCAGCACAGTAGTTGCTATTCAGAATAGAATATAGCTGAGTGTTGCAATGGAAGTTCAAAACTGGCCTAGCAGCATGGAGGGGGAAATGCCTCCTCGCTGGGAATCTGGGCCTGTCTGTGACAGTGAGCTTTTCACACAATAGCTCGTCGTCGTCCTTCACTCAGCACAGCTTTCTGGGGCACTCCACCCATCACTGGTACCACCATGAAGATGACCATCACCCAGAGTGGCTAATCTGGGGGTTCTCCGAGTGGGAGGATCCCTGGGCCATGGTCTGGGACCCTCTGCAAAAAAGAAAGCAAGGGGAGGAGTCAGAAGTCAGAGCTTCAAAAGTGATACTACCCTTTGCTTCCCCTACCCCAGCCCCCAAGGGCTAGAGGCAGGGCCAGCTAATGTGCAGGCTCCACTGCACAGTGAAAAAAGGAGTTTATCAAAAAATGAGTAAGAATTTCCACACATTGACATCAGAGCATTAACCCAAGAGCAGGGCCCTTCTGAGTGCAAGGCCCAGTGAGACTGCACAGGTCACGTGACCATGAAGCCACCCTGTCTAGAGGGACCTCATTAAAGAGAACACCCTGCCCCCACCCGTTAAGGAAATGTATGCAAATGGATAGAAGCTGTCTCAATGAATTATAACATTAGGTAATGCTTATTAAGTACTTAACATGTGCCAGGCACTCCTCTAAGTATTTTATGTGTTTTACTCCATGGCAGGTCCTATTATCAACTCCATTTTACAGATAAAGAAAGTGGGGCTCAGAGAGGTTAAGTAATTTGTTCAGGATCACACAGCTGTTAAGTCAGAATTACAAATGTTGCCAGTTGGGATCCAGTCAGTTGGGATCCAGAACCCGTGATTTTACCCACTATGCTACTGGTTCCCTCAGCACGAGCACCACTTCCCCAGAACTCTGCTGGTCCACAGCCCCACGTGTGGCAGGCCAGGTAGAGAACGGAAGCCACTATCTGCTCATTCCCAACTCATCACCTGAACCTACATATGTATTCCAACATCCAACTTCCTTTTTATGTTTTTTTTCCCTTCTGTAAATAAGGATGCTTATGTAAAATAAAGTGGATAAGGGAAAGAAGAAAATAAAAATTTACTATAATTCTATCAATTAGAAATAACTACTGGTAAATATGTTATGGGTATATATACTTCTAATCACCATACAGATTTCTCCAAACGTGTTATACTGCACCTTAGCTGTAACAGTTCATGTTGAAGAGCTTTCCAGATCACTGGATTTTCCTTGGCAGCATCATTTTTAATGGCTTTCCAGTACACCATTGTATTTAGGTACAATGATATATTTATCTATTCATGTCTTGTTGGATATTGTGCACCATTTCTTGCTATTCAAAATAGTCCTGTGATTATAATTGTGTAGCTCAATCTTTGTGTACATCGTGATTATTTCCTAAGGAAAAATTCCTGTAAGCGGAACCACTAGGTCCAAGGGCAAATTGTATTTACTTAAGAAATATAAAGTAAAATAAAATGGAATGAAAAGAAGGCAGCAATGCCACCTTGCATCACCAGCGTTTTGCTGGTGGCTGTCGCGGTGCATGGAGGTTTTCCTGCTGCATACACACACAGTGGCTTGTGCCACAGTGCCTTCCACCGATCCCTTGCATGTCTTCACTCATCTCTGTCCTGCCATCTCTGTTTTAGATTGTGGCCAAGAAATACCGCAACTATGACTTCCCAGCTGAGATGACAGGCCTGTGGCGGTACCTCAAGAACGCTTATGCTCGGGACGAGTTCACCAACACCTGTGCAGCTGACTGTGAGATTGAGTTGGCCTATGCAGATGTCGCCAAGCGCCTCAGCCGATCCTGAGCAGGGCCATCTGGCCCCATCCCTGCTGTAGAAGGACTCAACCTCTCCCAAAGGACTCCAGCTTCACAGACTCCTCTTCCTCATTGCCTCGGGAAACACCGTTTAAATTAGGCCTCTTCTTGCTGGCACCCCAGAACTCCAGCCTGCTGTCTCTTATGAAGGTCAGCACCATCCCCGGCCTCATACCCAGGAATGTGGCAAGCATGCAGCAGAAGCAGTCACCTCGCAGGCTGCCAGCCAGATCTGGGTTCTGTGTATTTGGTGTCTGTCAGCATTGGAGAGCCCATATGGGACAGTCACTGGCCCCTTTTGCCAATATCAAAATATCTTCTCAGATGTTGTAGAAACATGCAATGCCAGCTCCTCTTCTACCTTCCTCTTTGTCAGTAACTTCAAGGACAAGGACAAATGCCATCTCAGTTCTTATGACAAAGAGATCCTCGCCCAGTTAGGGGAGACAGAGTGAGGGAATGGAGAAGGGCCAAGCTGTCCGTGGATTTTGGCATCTGGCAAGCACACCTTCAGTCACTTGCTACTTCTGGCACTCCTGTCACTGGGCACTGAGGGCCAGATTGGAAAGTCACTTCAGATGCATTCTCAGTTTGCTGCAGTGCCAGGAATGTTGCAATGCTGCTGTGCACCTGGCCAACGCTGACCCTTGCTTTCATGCTGGCCGGGCCTTGCCAGCAAAGGAAACTGGCATACAATTCCAAACTGGAGTGACTAGGGCGGGGAGGGGACAGTGTCAATGCCAAAAGGCCCACGGGGGTCTACCAGCCATGGGGTTTGCTTGCCTAGAAGTAGTTATTGCCATGGACATGACATGCCTGGGTCTGACTGCTTATCAGAGAGTGGTTTGGGGTCTAGGAGAAAGCAGATGAGAGTGGGAGGGGGTGGGATGGGAGAAGATAAAGGAGTGTTTTATGAGGCTTAGTGTTGCGTGGTGATCTTTTAGACAGGTCATCTGTCTTATGATCTACCTAAGCCTTGGACTGCTGATGTCATGTGAATACCAACCTTATCATACAAATCCAAGACTTGGCCAAAAATGTCTTCCTGGTCTCTCCAAGTTGCTCCTGGACGTGGGTTTGCTGGCAAGGGGCTCTCGGGCAGCCGCTTCTGGCTGATTCAGCTGCAGCTGCTGATGGATGATTTGGGAGGTCGCATGATCATGGGACACTTTAGGAAGAAAGTACATGTCTGGGGGACCATGTGGTTTGAACTCGAAGAAAAATATGTACCATCAGACTTAAAAAAGAAGAATTTTTTTTTTTTAGCTAATATTTCATTCCTTAGTCATTCTCCTTGAGTTTCACCTCCTTAAAAGCTTGCCCGGCCTGAGCACAGGGACCTGTGCAGAGGAAACTAAGAAAAATGAACTAATCATCAACTCCTTCTCCCCAGGAGCACCCTTTGAGAAAATCCATCGGCCACAAGCCCTCACCTTCAACAATCCCTCCTTCTGTGCTGCCTGCTGGTAGAGGGGGAGTCTCCCAAGTGCCGGAAAGCCCCGGACTTGGCTCATTTCTCAGTGAGGGCAGGACCGCACGGGTCCTTTCCATAGAAACATCAACAAATTCTAACCCAAGCAATTGCTGCACCTACCTGACTCCAGGGATCTCTGAAGAAAAAAATGTGACCATGATCTAAACAGAGCAGAGGAAGCAGGAGGTCTCCTTTAGGCCACTGCGGAAGAGGAAATTTCTCAACAGGACATTTTATAAGCCTGAGAGAGCTTTGAAAAGACAGAATGAGTTGATTCATTTCCACCTCTCCAGGAACCTTTCCATGGTATCCCTGGAAACTTTGCCCCAAGAGATGTTTAAAAAGGAGAACTGGGGAGGAAACAGTCCTTTTTACTACAGGGAAAAGCTCCAAACTGGCCTCCTGGGGGATGAGAGCTCCAATGATCCTGAAGGCTTTTTAATTAATATGAAATCCTGTTGTACTCAGAAAAAAACAGAAGCCCCAGGTGAAGCCCTCCACCCCAGAGGAGCTGGAAGAATACTAACGACTCTGATTTGATATTCAGAATCGGGAATTGGCGAGTCTTTAAAAACAAACAGGCCAAGCCAAATCAATATTGTTGTTTCTAGATGTTCCTTCTGTGGTTGAGTTAGTTTTCTATAAGTAACAATATTAAGGAACTGGGGGCAGAGGATGTTATACGATCATTTATAACCATTTAAAAAGGGGGGACAAGTTGTAGAAGGAAGGCCATTCTGGGTGCTTAATTTAGAAATAGCTTCTTATTTCAGCTATAGATTATCATATAATGCAATGACTATTGACTTAGAGTTATGGTGTCTTATGACCAGATTTATCATAGTATATTAAAATAGCAATAATATTAATATTACTTTCCAATTTTTTTTTCAAGAGATTTTTCTCCAGATCCTTTAGCCTTTCTGGGCTTTGGCCATACTTTGTCACGTGCACAGCACATCATCTCTCAGCAACAGTGTGGTGAGGTCCTTAGGTGTCCCAAGAACCAACTCAGGGAGTATTAAAGGGTTTGCAATTTGGACCCCACACTCTAGAGTTTAGGATAGGAGGTAATTCTTGTAATGGATCCTGAATAAATATTGATTCCTCAGAAAACATTTTGGTGGCACAGAAAGGGGATCAATTTATGTTGAGATCCTATTATATTTTGTATTTATTTCTCTCCTTTGTGGGGTAGGTTAGTGGGAGGCAAAGGCAGAAATAAGTCAAACTCAGAACTACTGAGAAGAATTTACCCATCTATTCAGGACAGTCTACCTCTTAGGTTGGCCCAGAGAAAAGGCATTGGATAAGATTTTAATAACCGTAGATGAGTTGGGTAAGTAAAATCTTCATTGATCCAGAGCATAGTTTCTTCATCTCCTAACAAAGGAAGTCAAATGCCTGACGAATTCAGAATCACAGACACAACTATGGCTATCTTCTTTAAGACAAGGAGTCTAGCCACCTGGCCCCACACACAATGAGTTGAAAAGTGGGAAATGCAGTGTATCAGCTTATCTGGCCACACGATCCCAAACTAGTTTCAGCTTCAGAGGAAATGGTACTGTCTTCAGTGTTCCCTTCTCGTGCTGATGGGGCCAGTGGGATCTTGATCTTTTCATCAGAAAAAGGCCACGCCAAGAGGGTGGTTTCCTGAGACTTGTTTTCCAGCACTTGTCAAATGAAACAGCAGGAAGCCCTTCACAGCACCTGTGCCACTCTGCACAGATTATACAAGAGTCTAAGAATCATTGCAAGATGGATCACACCTGGAATAGACCTTGAGTCCCAGGAATCAGCAAGACCTGAACAAGTTGAATTAAGATGGAGGCAGAGACAGGAGGCACTGGCTGTCTAGTAAGTTTCCATCACTGGAACTGGCTATGTCTGAAATTAGTCTAGAAGCAGCAGATGTCCAGTGGGCACTTCTGTGCTTCCTCTCTATTCCCGCTGGCCAGGAGCCATCTCAACTGCAGAGAACCAAGATGCTGATGTTCTTGGAAAGAGGAAACATTAACTCATGGTTAAAGCTAAGTTGATGATTCTCAAGGGATTACTCTTTATATCTATGACATTACAAAGAATCTTAAGAAAGCACTAGAGAAAGAACTGTGCATGGGAAGCACCTGATTCTGACGTTAGGAGAACAGGTGGTCACACCACTGGCCGTGGGGCCCTCTGCACACAGGACCACTGTCTTCTGTGATTGCTGTTCAGCGTTTAAATCCAACAACATGCATCTTCCTCATGAAGGCATATTCTTCTCCCCTGGTCAATATTCTTTTCCCAGCTTAGTGCCACGATACTTTTATCTCACAATTAAGTATGATCCAAGTGTGCATAACTTTAATGTTATTGAAGGAAATAGACCCAATTCCCCGTGCAACCAAAAATAAAATATGGCCTCAATATAAGGTTTGGGCTAATATGTATTTCTATAAAAGCATTCTTTTTGGCAAAATATAGTTTTAAGGATCCAATCATATAAGATATTTTGTGCATAGTTAGAGATTTTACAGTATTGACCATGCATATATTTAAAATGTAAAGTATCTAGCTGATGTTTGAATTTGTTGTACTTTCCTGACCAGCTGGTTGTCCCATTTTATAAGCTGGAGAGTTAACTGATTTAGCAAAAACACCTAGCTTTTATTAAAGAACAAGTATTTCATTCTATAAAGACACTCCAAATGACGGTTACTTGATTTTCTTGAGACCTTCAACTGTGGTGATAAAATAACAAGACTTGGTTTCAAGCCTTAATGAATGTAAAATGCCTTTTAATGAAGATGTAGCTGAGTATTTTCCTCATGAATCGGAACCAGTTATAAATTTGTTTTGCAGTCCTGATTGGTATTGATGATTCAAATAAAGTTGGTTTATTTTCAAATATTACAAAAGTGATCACCAGACTTCTTATTTGAGGTGTGGATTTCCTATTCTGTTTTAAGTGGCAAGTATGAAATACCTCTTTTTTCCAAATAAAAGTTATTTTATTTTCCCCTTATAAAAGAAAATATGTTCATTCTTCTTAAAAATTAAATACAAATAAAAAGAAAATGAGGAAGAAGAAAAGGAAAAGCAAAAAGCTGTGAACCAGTCCATCCAAAAACCAATTTCTTTTTTAGCAAGGTTAAAAAATTCTTTTATGGTATATGGGCTAGGTAAAAAGTTAAACTGATGTCCCTTTATGTTTCTCATTTTCCATCTGGACTGTCATACCTGGGTGTAAGCCAACAGTGATAGTCCAGGTATGACTTACAGAATACTTTAAAATATTGGTCTGCCAGTGTCTAAACTCTCTGTCGTCTGTCAGTGGCTTAGCCCTATCAGCATTCCCGGCCTGAAAATCCCACTCTTGGCACCAGATCACTGACCCTGGGTTAAGGTTCCCAGAGTCCTCGGTATGTTTCCCATGAAGTCAGCACATCTGATGAGGACCTCTATGAGCATTCATATTGCTAAAAGGTGAAGAGGTTTTGATGGTGTCCTATGTCTTCCAGGCTCTGTCA